TCTGTGCTTCATGGGTGCCAATGAGCTTTATAATAAGAACAAAAGATCCTAACCACAAAGACCAGGAGGGAGCGGAACAGATAAGACTTCCAGGGGCGCTTGTCCCTTGGGTCACAGAAACTTTACTACTTCCTGTCACGGGGAGGGGTTTGAACTATAAATTCTGGACCACAACGTGATCTTAGCAACTCCGGCTACTTGAAGATTTCACTGGTTCTTAGATGTTGGAGAAATGACTCTGGAGATCATCTTTGACCATTTCACAATGAGAATCTTGCTATTCTATTCAAATTTATGAAGTCTTTGTGGGGAGCTTCTCTAGATTTTAAAGTTGTGATTCGGGCAATTCTAAAGAAATGAACATTTGCAATTCTTAACAAAAAGGAATGGGACGCAGCCCCACGAAGGGGCATCTGCAATACTATTCCCTCCATTTACTAATGGAGAAAAATGAGGCCTGAAAGTTGGACAGACTTGGCCAAGGATCCAGAACGGAAAGACGTGGCCTAAGCCTGCAGACTCTTTCTCTAAGCGCCGACCACAAGCAGGTACTGGCTGACGTGCCTGCCCCTGGAGGGTCACAGTCCCTTTGGTGCCAGGGCCTCGGTGAGGACACAGCTCGACTACCACTCCTGTACACGCCCTGCACTCTCTTGCCAGAACCCAGAGGAAAGCCCCGCTGCCGGCCACCGCCCCTCCAGTAACCACACTCACCCCGTGCTTCTGGATGGCCACGTTGGTGAGGTGCACAAACATGTTGTCCAGCTCGCTGGTGCTCGGCGTGTACTTCACCGTGCAGAACCGGCAAAACCCAAGCTTATACCTAGGTGGGGGTTCAGAGTGGGCCAAGCTCTGAGAAGATACAGAAGAAATCACAGCACTTCCCTCTCTAAAAAGAGCTGCGTTCTTACGGGTCAGATTCACTGGATCCAGGTGAACTGCTGGGACCTCCCCAGTCCCTGCCCGCTGCCAGGCGTGCAGAACCGGCAAAACCCAAGCTTATACCTAGGTGGGGGTTCAGAGTGGGCCAAGCTCTGAGAATATACAGAAGAAATCACAGCACTTCCCTCTCTAAAAAGAGCTGCGTTCTTACGGGTCAGACTCACACTGGATCCAGGTGAACTGCTGGGACCTCCCCAGTCCCTGCCCGCTGCCAGGGACTGCTGCATGCACAAGGCTGCACTAAGTCACGAAACCTCACGATGGCGCTAAGGAGCGCCCTATAGAACAGAAGCAGAGCCCCAGCACGCTTACATGTAACAGCGCAGTGGGCGGTAGGTGGACACCAGGACGTACAGGCGCAGGTCAAACTTCCTCCCGCCGATGAGCAGCGGGTTGTTGATATAGAGTGAGATCACGTAGGCTTCTTTCGAAGACTGTGACACAAACCTGCACATGCCAGAAAGAGTCACCATTAGGTGGTAGAAGATGCAACGTCAGAGTTACAACCCACAGACCAAAGAACTGACAAACTGGATTTTGCTGAAATTAGAAATTTCTGCTCTGCAAAAACACTGTTAAGAGAACAGAAAGACAATATGGGGAGGAAATATTCACAAAAGGCAAATCTGATAAGAGTCTTATCCTAAATATACAAAGACCTCCTAAAACGGGAACGTTACCCAGGTGTAGTGGTGCACACCTGTAATCCCAGCACTCTAGGAAGCTGAGGCAGGAGGATCACAAGTTTGAGCCCAGCTTAGTGAGACCCTGTCTCAAAATAAAAAAATAAAAAGAGTTGGGGATACAGCTCAGTGCAAAGGCCCTGGGTTCAACCACTGGTACCAAAACAAAAAAAAACCAATTTAAAAAGCCAACAACGAGAAAAACAACCCAACAACTTAATTCGGAACTGAGCTAAGACCTTAACAGAACCTCAGCAAAGGAAATGGATGGCAAAGGAGCACATGAAAAAATTCTCCACTTAGTGTCACCAGGAAACACCGAGTGAACCACATGTCACTGCAGCACACCCAGGGGAACTGTCTGAGTGCAGTGTGCTGAGTACTCTGAGCACCAGCAAAGATGGGTGGCGACGCGACACTCACACCTACTGTGAGACTGCAACACTGCAGCCACTTGGGAGGACAGCCTGGGACTTTCTCATGAAACCAAACCACTCCCTGGAATTCACAAAGGAGCTAAGAACTTAGGTCTAGGGGGCCGGGATTCGGCTCAGTGGTTCTGCCACCTGCCTCGCAAGCGCGAGGGCCCGAGTTTTATCCCTGGTACTAAAAAAAAAGGAAAAAGAACTGAGGGCTAAGGTCTACACAAAGACCTGCACACGTGTGCAGCAGTTTCATCTGTAACTGTCCACACTTAGAAGCAAACAAGGTGTCCTTCAGTAGGTGAGTGAATAAATAGGGCTCATCCAGATGACGGAATATTAGTGATAAAAAGAAAGACACTTCAAAAACAAAAGAAAAAAAAAAAAAGGAAGCCAGGCATGATGGCCCAAACCTGTAAATCCATTACTCTGGGAGGCTGAGGCAGGAGGATCCAAAGTTCAAATCTAGCCCAAATGATGAGGCAATCTAGGGAGATGCTGTATCAGATTTTAAAGTTTTTAAAAGGGGCTGGGGATGTAGCTCAAAAAAGAAGATCCTAAAACAGAAAATATGTTCAACCAGTAAGTGTCAGGTTGGGATTCAAACCTAGGAGCCCAGGGTTCTGAGTTCAAGGTAACATGAGCCTCGCTGCCTTGACCACTGTGCATGAGGCCCCACTGGTGATTGTTTAGGCCACACAACACTGCTAGGATGACGCGGGACAGAGGATGTGCACCTGCACAAGCAAGCAAGAGCCCCGCAGCTCACAGCCACTGCAGGATGGCAGGCAGCTGCCACCCCAAGCTGCCGCACTTACGAGGACGTCTTGCTGTCCCGGGACCACTTCTTGATCTGCGAAAGCTTGTTGATGAGGAAGATGCCCTTGCCCTGGGCTTTGCCACACGGCTTCATGATCCAGGTGCTGGACGGGCTCTTCCGGAACTCCTCCACAAACAGGTTGTAGTCGGCGGGCAGCATGTAGGTGACCGGGACGAAGTCTGAAAGACAGACACCTGTGCTTCCCACAAGCCAGCCCAGCGGAGGCCAAGAACAGAAGGAGAGGGCCAGGGATGTAGCTCGTCGGTTTTGCCTCCTGTCTCGTGAGCATGAGGTCCTGAGTTCAATCCCGGGTACCCCCCAAAATCCCCAAACAAACAAAAACCAAATAGAAAGAGAATGACATTGCGCTCCAGGGTTTGTCATCATCCCCTCGGCCCCAACTTAGCACTGAACGCAACAAGGACTTGCGCCGCTTGATTCCCGCGGGCACAGGCAAGGGACCTGTCAGGCGCTCTGTGCGAACACAGCGAATGCTTTAGTCCCCACTGCAGGCTGCGAGCCGGGCGGTATCACTCCAGCTAGCAGAAGAGGAAACTGAGGCGGACACTGCTTATATCAGTTTGCTCCACGCCCACCGCACCACCTGGAGACCCCCGAGGGAAACAAGCGCCTCGCAGTGACCACCCACCACCCGGGCGCTTGCTGACCCCAGGCCCGAGGCCGGCGGAGGCACAGACCCAGATACAGGTATTTGCCGTTGTCATCCTTCTCTGCCAGGGGACTCCCTTCTTTCTCCAGCTCCTTCCGGTATCTCTTAATGTTCTTCACCATCAGATCCTTCCGGGTCAGCTCGTAGTGGTTGGGGAAATGGTTGACGATCTGATCGTCCGAGAGCCGATATCCGGTTTCGACGCTGAACACGCTCCGGATGGTCTGCACGCTCATCCTGCAGCGGGAGCCCCGAGTGTGCGTCCTCCCTGCGCCCAGCACCCCTCGGAGCCCTGACCTGTCTCCCCCACATCCTCAGCTGAGCCCAGGGCTGCTGGGCCAGGGACCTCAGTGACCGAGGACTGGAGTTTGCCTTCTCCGTCCTGACACTGTCAGGCTCTGGCCCGAAACCAGTTCTCTACGCACTTTCTGATTTGTGTCACACTCAGAAGCCCCCACTTCCACAATGTTTACACTCAGATTCAAGGAGGTGGAGGACACCTTAAGACAGAAGTCACAGTGGGGTAGGCTGGGGATTTGGCTCACAAGGGGCCTGAGTTTGATCCTGGGTACCAAAAACAAACCAACAAAAAGGAAGTCACAGTGGGGTGCGTAGACAGGGCCAAAAAATTGCGCTTGTGCGGGTTAATCAGTCATCCCGCCCTCCAGGGTCGGGCTTCTTTACTCACCAGTAGAAGTTCCAGTCCTCATTCTCTGTCACTTGGACCCAGCCTCTCTTCTCAAAGTTATTGATCAGCACCGACTTCTGGATGTCAGTCACCCACTTCACCTTCCCTGCCATGACCCTGGAGGGGACAGGTCACGAGCTCTGACACTCCAACTTCCCCAGACCAGAGGCCTCCTCGACATCCACAGAGCGGGGCATGCAGACCACGCACGCCTGCTAGCCCAGCATCTGGGAGGCTGAGGCAGGAGGATCACAAGTTCAAGCCCAGCCCGGGCAACTTAATGACTTAGTAGAACGCTGTCTCGACAAAAAAGGGTGGGGGATTGTAGCTCAGGGAAGAAGCTCTGACTTCAACACTAGGGAAGGGAAGGGGAGGAAGAGGGACATCCGCTTTTGTCAGCATGCTCCTCCTCGATCCATGGGCCAGGAAGCGAAGACCTGTGGCTAAGAGCCTGTGTCAGAAGCAGACCCAGGGAGCCACAGCGGCCCCACCCTGTCCCCTCAGCCTGTCTCTTCCATCCGAGAATGTGGCCTTTGGGAAGATGAGCATATTCACTCACAGGGTCAACAGAAGGGTAATCAGAGTTGCTCTCACCCCTCAGAGGGGTCCTGTCACCGACAGCTACAACGAGGGGCACAGAACATCAGCAGCCATCAGCGGGCGGCAGGCGCGCATCCTACACCCACAGCCAACTCCAAGTGCCTCTTGCCCATGGGATGACCTGAAGCCCAATGGCCAAGGGGATTTCACTTTGTGTGTGTGTGTGTGTGTGTGTGTGTGTGTGTTTTGGCTGTTGTGGGAATGAACCTGAGACCTCACACTGAGCTACCTCCCCAAACCTTTTCAGTAATTCATTTTTTCACACAGGGTCTCACTAAGTTGCTAAATTCCCTAAATTGGGCTCAAACTTGTAATCATGCTGCCTCAGCCTCCTAGAGGACTGGAATTACAGGTGTGCACCACCACACCCACCTGCAACTACATTTTCACCATTTCATTTCAGCCACTGAACCCCAGCCCTAGTTCCACCCCACAGTCGGACTGCAGGAAGACGCCTCCCCCAGCTTGGGACACCTGTGCCAACACTGCAGGGCGAACCTCACATTAACTCCCGGGGATCCACACCAGCCATGGCCCCACCCTGAGGCGGCAGCAGCAGAAGCAAGGAAGAGCAGTGATCCCAGAGCACAAGGGCAGCAGGGTAGACAGGACAGCCTGGCCACACGCAGGACACATGTGCCAGTGGCCTTAAATTTCATTTTAACTGGATTTAGAGACACTTGGAAGCCAGGCGTAGTGGTGCATGTCTGTTGTCCCAGAAGTCGGGAGGCTGAGCCAGGAGAGTTGCTGCATGTTTTAGGTGGAGCTCAGGTAGAGGTGGCATGGGTGCAACCTTCAGAAGGTGTCTCTCCCCCCCCTTTTTTTTTTTTGGTACCAGGAATTGAACTCGGGTCCTTGCGCTTGTAAGGCAGGCAGCGAAACCACTGAGCTAAATCCCCGGCCCAAATCTCTTTTTTTTGAGACAGGGTCTCACTATGTAATTGAGACTGACATGAACTCACTATGTAGCCCAGGCTGGTCTCGAACTCACAGCGATCCTCCTGCCTCAGTCTCCGAGCGCTGGGATCACAGGTGTGCACCACCACGCCCGGTCAGAGGGTGGCTCTTCCTATTGCTCTACCCCTGCTCTGCTTCCTGCCACCATGAACTGAGCAGTCCTCCCCAGGCCCTCCGGCCATGCTGCTCCTGTCCTGGAGCTAGCTCACCATGGACTGGATGCTCTGAAGCCATGAGCCAAGTTGTCCCCCCCACCTCCGCGCCCCCCCCACCGTGCCTGTCAGGTACTCTGTCCCAGCCACAGGAAGCTGACTGCTATAGTCCCCAGCGGGACAAGGTGCTGGGGCGAATATCCTCATCCTCGTTTTACCCATCTGGAAGGGAAGCCCAGGCAGAACAGTGCTTCTGCCAGAAGTGGGGTGGCCCTCCCAGCACCCCCACACCCCACACAGTCGCTGGCAGGGCACACAGGCTGCACTCACCATAGGTCCTCCGGAGTCACTGCGCTGCCCACGTCTCCTTCGGCTCCACTGATGCCGGCTGCGGGTCTCACCTGAGAGGGGCCCGGGATGAGCAGCACAGCCACGGTGCTGCGGGAGCACAGGGCCAGAGGCACCGACAGTCACGGATGTGGCTGAACAGTGAGGGGTGAGCGCGGGAGCCACTTTCTCCTCTTCCCTTGCTGCCATACAGGTCCCCCTACAGCCAGCACTGGGGTGACACCCAGGACTTGGCTCACCTGTGCCAGGCAAGAGAGCTGCTCTGCACCCCACTTGGCCAAGTGAAGGTTTCTGAGTGACCTTACTCCCAGGCTACAGCAGGCCCCAGCCCCTCACGTGTCTCTAATAGTTGTGCACTGCACCCCATAGAACACCTATTTCCAGGGGGAGAGTGGGGCTCTGCTATGGTTTCAATGTGGCCCCCAAAAGCCTTGTGTTGGAACCGTCATCCCCAAATCCACATTGATGGCATTTGGAGGTGGCATCTTTGGGAGGGGATGAGGATTCAGTGAGGTCACAAGGGCGAGGTCCCACAATACACTGGTGGCTTTATAAAAGGAGGGAGAAGCCAGGAGTCGGGTACACACCTATAATCCCAGCGCTTCAGAGGCTGAGGCAGGAGGACTGCTGAGAGTTCAAGGCCAGCCTGGGCTACACAGCAAGACTCTGTCTCAGAACAAAGACAAAACCAAAATTTAAAAAACCAAAACTGAAGAGGAAGAAAAACCTGAGCTGGCTCTGTGTCCCTATGTTAGACAGGTCGGCTTCATGAGAAAAGGGCCTTCATTCTGCCCATCTCTGGCTGAAGCCCCGGCACCCAGAGCCCAAGGCCAGCAACAGCAGATGCTCAATAAATATTTGATGACTTTTAAAAAATAAATAAATGACTTCTCCTGGCACAGGATCCAACAGGTACTATTGTGAAAAGCAAGGTCCAGCCCTTCAGGGTAAAAATCCCCATTCGGGGCTGGGAGAGAAAACCATGGCAGAGTGCTTGCCCAGCACAAAAGAGGTCTTGGGTTCCAGCCGCAGGAAAACAAAAAAATTTTAAAAAGAAAGAATCACCCAGACAGACTCACACAGCTTGGCGACAAGCGTGCAGTATCAGGAACTCTGGTCTTCAGCCCGAGAGGGACCCTCACCTCCTACAGTAATCACTGAACTCAGACAGCCCTGCCATGCTTTTGAGAGACAGCAAGCAGGCAAAGAGAATGTGTGCATACGCTTCTCACACTCACTCTCTCTTGTAGGTCCAGCATCAGAAAGTGGGAACCCTCTTCGACCCCCTCCCTGCCACCCTAGACATTTAGATGGTCACATTTGGTCCCTGGCACTGGGGATTGAACCCAGGGCTTTCATGCTGTTACACTGCAGCCCTTTAAATTTTTTTTAAAGTTTTATTTTAAAACAGGGTCTTAATAAGTTGCTAAATTGCCCGGCCTAGGTTTGAACTTGCCATCCTCCTGCCTCAGCCTCCCAGGGTGCTAGGAGGACAGGTGTGCACCACCACGCCCTGCTGACCACTACCACTTCCAATGAACTCCCAACTAGGCCAGGATACTCTGACTTCTGGATTTTTCCCAACTAGCTTTCTTTGAAAGGGAGAAAAGAGAGCCATCTTTAAGAAAACAGCAAACAGGCCGGGGATTTAGCTCAGCGGTTCGGTGGCCTGCCTTTGCAAGCGAGAGGACCCAAGTTCAATCCCCGGCACCAAAAATAAAAAAGAAAGAAAGAAAAAAACAGCAAACAACAATGTATGGGATGCTTCACATGGGTGGGCTGCGTTCGGTCACAGCCTCTCTGGGCCACAGTGCCATGCTGCACAGTCACCGACTGCCAGTGTTTGTAATTCTTGAGGGCACAGCAGGGACCCCAAGCCAGCCCTGCAATGTGCTCACCAAGTGTACCCTTGAACAAAGAACCTGCTTTGCGAATTTCAAACCGGCTCACAATGCTAAGAAACTTTCGCTTTAGGATTTGTCCCCATACTGGCCCCGCTCCTCTGCAGCGCATGACTAATCCCGCCCGCCTCTAGTCCAGTCACCAGGAGAAAAGCGGACAGGGAGGCAACTCCAGACTCCTGTCTCCTGTCTCCTACCCTGAGTCCTCTCCACAGGTACAGCGCCAACAGAAACAATACAGGCTGCAAACGAAGGGCAAAGTCTAGGAACAATGAAAGTCGGGCAACCAATAATTACGATGCAATTACAATAATCGGACGGCACGGGTGGACTCCCAGGAACTCGTAGTAGGAAAGAGATACAACAGCCAATGCAGGTGCCGCAGGTGCAGTGGAGAAGGCAGAGCCAGAGAGCGGCAAATAATCGCACCCGTGGCGGCCGCCTAGACTAGGAGCGCGCACCGTCTCGCGCATGCGCACTCACCCTCAGGAGCAAGGCCACACCC